TTATATGTAACTACAGTGAAAAATCGTATTTCTCTACTGTGGGAATATTTGGTACAAGTGATCGATGGGAAGAGTTCGTGCCTATATCCAGATGGACCTATAGTTGATTTTATAGATTTTTATAAAAATTGTATAGAAAAATTTCAAAGAAAACGGTCTTCTGATAATGATAAAATAAAAAAATTAGAAAATCAGATTAATAAGATTAGCGATACAGAAAATGAATTTCAAAACATGGTAAATCAGATGTATAATTAGATGAATAAAAAATTCAAAATTTATCAATTGATGATCACACAACATCAGGAAATTTAATTAGGCGAAGATTTACGGTAATATCACATGACCTCTGGAAATTTACGCCTGAAAATTTGATTTTTTAACTTCGGCCGAGATTTAGGTGACAGGGAGCGATTTTCTACTAAGATATTTCTAAAATAGATCGAAAGCCCTAGTTTTTGGCTACAAGAAGATATGTTTTTCATTACTATAGCATCGATATTTGCGGAGAAATTCACGTTTAAATTCAAAGCGTCCGTGAAAATTTATGCCATAATTTTTCTGTAAATTTTCGTAATTCTGCTGGAAATTTTTATTACGTTACAAAAATTTCTGGCAGAATTATAAAAATTTACGGAAAAATTATGGCATAAATTTTCACGGACGCTTTGAATTTAAACATGAATTTCTCCGCGAATATCGATGCTATAGTAATGAAACACATATCATCTTGTAGTCAAAAAGCAGGGCTTTCGATCTATCTTAGAAATATCTTATTAGAAAATCGCTTCCTGTCACCTAAATCTCGGCTGAAGTTAAAAAATCAAATTTTTCAGGCATAAATTTCCAGAGGTCATTTGATATTTCCGTAAATCTACACCTAATTAAATTTTCTGATGTATATCTTGTATTGTAATATTGTGAAATATTATTAAATATTGTTTGATACTGTGTTAATTTCTTTTACTCCACCTTACTTACTGTGCCTTCATGATTAATTGATTATTATTTGATTATTATTATTATTTATTATATATTTATTATCTGTTTCAAGATAAACCAGTTAAATTGATTGTATTAGTTGTGACTACTGACAGATAGAGTGAATTATTATGTTTGTATAATGCAAACTTTGAGACTGATTTGAGAAATTATTCAAAATACTCTGCACAAGTGTGCCAGAATTTGGTGCCTCCTGTAAGGTGGCATAAAGTATCTTAACACAGTAACTTATAATATAGACACATCTGTTTCACAAATTTTATATTCCTTAATAAATCTAGTAAAATATATAATAATTATTCCTATTATTGGAAAAAAATAGTCAAAGAAATTTATAACTTCTTGAAACTTTTTTTTTTTTTTTTTGTTCCAGCGAGTTCTTGCCTCAAATTTATTAATTAGAAAAAAAGAAAGTTTTTTACATTACATAAGATTACATATACAAAATACACAACTTAATCTAATGTTTATTTGAAAAGATGAGACTCAGATTAACTTATAAGAGACAGGCCCACAACCTATTGCCTATTTATAACATCTTGAAACAATTTGAAAATATATAATTTATTATTATAATAATTACTCTTTTTATAAAAACTGATTTCTCACATTTTATTTTGTGATCTGACAAGATCGATAATCAAAGTAGTTATTAACATAACAAAATTCTTCCAGATCAAAAGATTTACAACAAAGATTGTCAAGTGAAAATTTGAGTAACCAGACAAAATTCCTGAAGAATCATCAAAATTATTTCCATAAAAACTTATCGAATAATATGTCAAACTGTATAAATGAAAGAAAAATATCAAATCAAGTATAAGTGCAAGGGAAAATGAGATGAATACTCTAATACAAGACCTTCAAAATAAATTCGTATAAGAAATGATACAAGAATGTTATCCTTTTTTGGAGGAAATCAAGATTCTATGAAATGGTTAAAAGAATTTAATCGATCTATAAGAATAAACCAATATACTGATGAATACAAACTCCAAGTAGTCAGCGGATATCTACAAGGTACAGCAGGACAATGGTTTAATGAAACTCAAGAAAAACAGAATTCTATTAACATTGAAATGATAAAGACCAGATCTCTTTTGAAACATCTATCTTGATCACTTTTCAAATAACTGTGTTAATAAATCAATGGAGATTCGAATTACAAATAAAGTACAGAAACTAGGTAAAAGTGTAGAATATACATGTTCAAAAATTGATTTTAGATTTTTGAGATATTTTGAGATTTATGCAGGATCTATTCTATATATGAAAGTAAAAAAAAGTATTCAGTTATGTATATATTCAATCAAAGAATAAATCTGAGTGGTCAAAAATTTCAGTTTTAAATAAAATAATTTTGTTTTCTATAAAAAACTATTTTAACTTTTTTTTTCAAAATTGTAATTTCGAAGTTCCAAAATAATTTTGTGTACAAGTATAAACAAAAGCCAATATTACTTTGAAACAATTAATAGCTATGTCACATTATAGAAGTGAAATCTGAAAAGCTTTGACACCAAAGCATACAAAAATTATAAAGATAACTAATCACACAACAGTAGAAGAAAATACACCCATGACTTGTCAAGTTCAAGTAGTTAGATGGAAAGTTGAAGTAATACTTGATAGTAGTTCATCTATTAGTATTATTTTGAAGAATTTTACGAAATCTATAGGACGAAGAATTGAGAAAACATCTGGAAAGAAAATAATTAGTATACATGGAGAAAGACAACCTAATTTGGAAATCATGATATTAGTATCTATAAAGTTGGAAGAAATTGTGGTAGCTGTTGACATTGAAATTATTGATACAGCAAGTTATACATTAATTCTTGAAACAGATTGGTTAAAGAAAGCACATACTATAATAGACTACCAAGAGTATAAATTAATTTTTTAAAGGATAACAAATGAAGATCACAAATTTCTTGCAAAAATACTAGAGCTACTATGTTGAATAATGATAAAAATGATGATAATAGTGAAGAAAAATATGTAGAAAGTAGTGATGATTCTGATACAGAAGATAACGAAAAAATAAACTTTGTAGGATTAATATATAAACTTCCATATCAAGAATCCTATACTAAATATAAGATTATTTCTGAAGGAATGTGTAATAATTTGAAACTTGTCATATGGAAAATGTATAATCAATTCTCCTACTGTTTCAACCTGATTAAAAGAAAAAAAGGTACTTAAGAAAGATATAAGACAACAGGACCTAATTCTTATTGCTAATGTGATAAATATCTTGAGACTAGTCAGGATATATGTGAAGTTTGCAAAGAATATCAACAAGATTATGAGATTATTTTCATCATATTGTCAAAAAAAATATGAGACCTTTGTTGTAATTTAGTATAAAGAGGTATAGAGAAACTCAAAGGAAACCAATATAAGTTGCAAGTTTACAAAATTATCAAAGAATTTCTGAATCTTGTAGCTAAAGACCTTTTAGAACTTGAAAAAATGAACCTTTATCAATATACAATAGATACTGGCAAAGTAAAACCAATCAAATTAAACCCTTATAAAATTTCACTTCGATACTTAGAATTTTTAAAAGAGAAAATAACAAACATATTAAAGAATAGATTATACTTGCACGCAAAATTATTTTGGGGTCCCGAAATTGTAATTTCGGAAAAAAAAGTCAAAATAGTTTTTCATAGAAGACGAAATTATTTTACTTAAAATCTGAAATTTTTTGATCACCCAGATTTATTCTTTGATTAAAGATACATATAACTAGGTACTTTTTTTACTTCCATATATAGAATAGATTTTGCATAAATCTCAAAAAGTTGAAATATCTCAAAAATCCAAAATCAATTTTGGGAACATGTATAGAATGGATTAATTCAAAAGTCATTTGGTCCTTGGTCTGTACTTATGGTTATAATGAACAAGAAGAATAGAAAATACAGACTCTGTATAGATTACAGAAAATTGAATATGGTTACAAAACCTGATACCTATCCAGTACTACGAATAGTAGATATACTAGATACATTAAGACATTCCACCTTCTTTTCAACTTTAAATCTTGCTTCAAGTTTCTGACAAGTAGAAGTATCTGCTAAAAACTGAAAGAAAACTGTTTTTACTATTCCATTTGATACCTATGAATTCCTTATAATACTTTTAGACTTATCAATGCTCCTGTAATCTTTTAGTGAGTTATGGATAAAGTCTTCCATGAGGTTACTTGGAAATTTGTATTAGTATACATTAATAATTATCATATATTCGAAAACTTACAAAGAACATCTGGAACATTTAAGAAATGTATTTAAACTTCTAGAAAATGCTAGATTAAAGATAAACTTGAAAAAGTATAACTTTTTCAAATGAAGTTAATATTTTTGGAACATATTATAACTGTTGATGGAATAGCCCCAGATCCTTTAAAAATTGAAAAGGTGCAGTATTATCTAATTCCACAAAACAAGACTAATATTCATGCTTTCTTGGGATTAGCCTTTTATTATTTAAGATTTGAGAAAAGCTTTGCTACAATTGTTAAACCATTGCATAACCTTATGAAGAGGATTGTTAAATTTGAATAGAAACCGAAACATCAACTTGCATTTGATTTATTAAAAGGACAGTTAACTTTGATTCCGATAATGACCTACTCTAACTTTTTGAAATAATTTATATTAGCTATCGATGCATAATACATCTGACTGAAGAATTAGAGCTGTGCTTTTTTAGAAGAATACAGAAAATCTTGAACATCCTATTATTTATGCCAGTTGTTTTCTGTTATCTCTCGAACAAAATTATACTGTACTTGAAAAAGAGTATTTTGTTGTAATATAGATTGTACAATATTTTAAACATTATTTATATGGTTTCAAGTTTGATTTATATATGGATAACTCCACTATAACATGGTTAAAGAATTATCTACAACCTAAAAGAAGAGTTGTTAGATAGATTTTTGAATTATTTGAGTATGATTACGAACTTATTCGTAAGTAAGGCAGGCTTAATGTCAATGTAGATACTCTCTCTAAAATAACTAATTAAATTTAATAGATATTACAGAACTCAAATATGATAAAGATACAAAATTTTAAAACTTTTTAAAAATAGATGTAGATACTTATAATCAACTAACGGAATATTTAATAAATTATACTTTTCTATCAAATGACACTAATGAACAATGACGAAAAATATAACAACAAGCAAATCATTATATAGTTCAAAATAATATTTTGTATAAGCAAAATAAAGATGGTGACCTTTTAAAAGTAATAATAAAAAAAAACTTAACAAAAATATTATACAATATGTATAGTGTATCAAATGTTAAATATTTTGATACAAAAGTTACTATAGATAAAACAAGGCAATGATATTTTTGATCAACATTAGGTGAAGACATATAAAATTATATAAAGATATGTGATATTTGTTAAAGATAGGATAAACCTAAATAAACTAAAATATTATAACCTATTGAAGTAAAACTGTAACGAATCTACTAATTCATTTTTAGAAAATAAATATCAACAAATATTTATTAGCGAAGTTTGTAGTTTATAATTAACTTGTGATTTGTGTAACAACTGGTAGATCTTAATATATTTAATCGGGAATAATTATCTTATTAACTAAACTGCTAAAACAGAATCTACAATAACTGTACCTATTTATCATGTCAAATCGTAAAAAAACTGTTAAAAATTATAATACAACAGTTATTGACATTAGAAAAATTGATTCAAAAATACATTATGGACCATTTTCACAATACTGATGGATTTCAACTAAAAATAATGAAAATAATACAAACTCATTAATTCCAATATGAATAGGTATGAAAACTCTTACCAAGCTTAATAAATATGATTTTATTATTACTATTTTGGAATCTGATACTCAAAATTTACCTGGTCCAAGATATCAAGTAACCTGTGGATTAAAAAGCAGCGAAATTTGCACAAGTTCTTCTGTGACAATTACATCTCTATACCAACAAATTTTTAATACAAAGACCAAATTCTCGGGACCACTTGTGATGGGTTTTGATCAACAAGATATTGTGAATCAAATGTTAGAAAATATTCAATTTCGACCTTTTGAATTTTTTATAGAAAAACTTAGAATAATAATTATTGAAATTGGTACATCAAAAAATTGTGAATGGAATTATGCTGGAGTGGGATATCAATCTTCTTTTACTTATAAAATAGAAAAAGAAAATTTTTTATTTGTTAAACATTTTACTGATACAAAATGTATTTTATCAATTTATGAAAATAATATGATCAAAAAAAATTATTAGTGAAAAAATCCAACGGAAATTTGGGTCAAAGTAGATAATAAGCCAAAATATAATGCAAATACTTTATTTGGTCTTGAAAATATTTACACACAAGAATTAATTAGACAATTAAAGGTTCCTTCATACACATTAGAAGAATGAAATGATGAATCTATTTTACAAGAAATTTTCAAATATCATCTTAAAAAACAAATGAAATCAAATATTAATTGGATGGAATTTATTAGATTATGGAAAAACCAAAAAAATGAAATTATTGAATTACAAAGTAGTTTGAAACAATTATATGGGTCAGAATATCAAATGAATTCACGTGAATTATGTGCATAGAAATCAATGTTACGACACATGGGTTGCAAAGAAATTACACCATATGATAAAAATCAATCAGAGGTAAAATAATATATAAAATATAATAATAATAAATATCAATAATACTAAATTATATATTTAATTATTCAATTTATTTCTAGTATGAATTTTGGACACGATCATTAGATTCAGAAAAGGATCAAGAAACACTAAAAAATTTATATAATCTAAGTTTTTTTCAACCAGTTCCTAATTATAATCAAGCTAAAATTTTTTGGGGATGTATTCAAGAATCAATGAATATAAATAAACAAGGAATGAATGGAAAACGACATATTTTATCAATTGTTGCAAATCAATTTACTTATGAAGAAATCAAAAAAAATCTAGATGTAAGTATATATATATAAATATATTTTGATATATATCAGATACAATTACTGGAGCACGTCGATATGCAAGATTTTATGGACTTGGTGGTGAATGTTTGGAGAAACCTATTTATGAAAGAAACAGAATTTCTCAAGAAAGATTAGATCAATTACAACAATTTTTAAATGATAAAAATAATATTATAATGAGCAGTTACAAAACTGATACTAAAACAGGACTTCTAGTAAAATATATCAAAGATACAAAAGAAGCATTATGGGAAAAATTTAGTCAACAATTATCAAATGGTGTTAAACGTTGTTACAGAATGAAAATATAATGATAAAATAATATTAAAAACATCTGCAATAATTTATAATAACCCTTAAGATAATA